TAGTTTTTATTCTACTCATCCTAATAAAGTTAAAATGGCCTTGAAACTGAGAGTTATCATCATAAGCAAATAATTGTGTTTACAGTGAAACTTTCATCGAAACCTTAAGCAGCAAAGAGCGTGATTTGCTAAGTGAGATCTCATCAGTAATTTCCTCACTTCTCATAATTCAAACTGCTTTCAGCTGCCACATATCAAAAACAGAAGAGAGTAACCCAAAGGCTTGAAGCCATGTGCATAGGTTTGAATCCTGACTTTGACACTTGTTTACTTAATGATAAAATAAACATGAGCATTATACTTTTACAGCTACTTCACACGGTTGCTTTAAGGATTTAAAATAAGTGCCTAGCACAATGCATGGAAATTAATAAATGATACCTTGTTTTTATTGTTGAGCACATAAAATTGTGTGTGCGTGTGTGTGTGTGTGTGTGTGTGTGTGTGTGTGTATAAAATCTTTGTTTTGAAACGTTTGGGGTTTTATGCTCAGTAGATTCTAAGTGATCTACAGTAATGGAGGGGAACAGAGGCATGGATAATTCAAAACAGCAAATCATTCAAATACTATTTGTATGTATTTTAAGAGTATTTTAAATTTTCATTTCAAATGTGAGTGTTTCCACTGCCCAAAGAAATGACTTCATATAAAGGGATAACACGATGATGTGAAGTCCAAACTAAAAGGGATCTGAGGAGCTGTCCAATTTTCATGTCCCCTCCTCTTCCCGCCTCACCTCCTCACGCCTGCCTGTCCAAACACAGATGCCTCAAAGAACCCGCTTCAAGCAAAGTTTCTGCCTCCCACTGTCCGTTGGATCAGGGCCATTGGTGAAGTGTTTCTGATTCCCCACTTAGAGGCAGCATACAGTCGCCAAATAAAAAGCGCCAGGTGCTCATGAAGCAAGTGCTCGAATGGAGGGAGGAGACAGTAAAGCTGAGAGGCAGTGTGGTGCCTTGGTTAAAAGCAAAGACTGTGGAGTGTGACCGGCTGCATGCGATTCTAAATCCCGGTTGGCCTATATGACCTTGGGCACATTGCTTCCTCTGTAAACACGCAATGATAACGCTATCAGGTATCTCACATGATTTGCTAAGGCTTAAATTATATATATTTCAGCGTAGTTATAATTGTGCGTGTGTGTAAGGCTCAGTGTGCATAATAAAGAGATCTATATTATGCTGATTTCTCTTTACACAATAAACTTTTACTTACAAGTTGGTGTTTTCCTACAGAGACCTACAATAGCTTTTTTTGTGAAATCAGAGGAAAACAAACAGGATTCTTGGCCCCATCTAGTGTCTATATAATCCCCCAAGCATATCTCTGTTTCCCAAATGAAGCTGTTTTCCTGGTTGGTACTTAGGGGTTATTGCTCTGTAGTTAGCAATGTTCCTTTCATTTTAGCAGTATTACAGGTTTATGCCATGTGGAAAGAATTCAAGCTGGTGCCCACACACAAGCACACACACATCAAAGTGACATCTGAAACATTAAAAAGATAATAGTAATAAAAAGAATGAAAGAAAAGTAAATACTTATAGATCAATTCACACATGCTAGGCACTGTTCTAGTCACTTTATATGATAGCTCATTTAATTCTCAGAACCATCCTGTGAAATCAATGATATTGTTCTCCCAATTTTACTGTTGAAAAACAGAAACTCAGAACGGTCCAGTAACTTTCCAAAGGTCACAGCATAGATAACAATATACACATCATGGCCATGGAAACCATATCATTTATTGACGGTTCCAAGACACTACTGAACATGAAAGATGGCCAAAGCAGGAATGTAAGTTTATTTTAATTATGGTTGAAGACCACACAACTTCAACACCTATGTCATTGTTAACTAAATGAATGGGTTCATATTCCATTTCTACTTGAGAAATATATTGTCCTAAGACTCTAAGATGATCATTAATATGCTTTAAGTAAGGCATCCTTAACTAAAACCATTAGTGCCTGCGGTAAATAAAAATGTGTTTGAGCTTCCAACATGATGAGTTTCACTCCAGAGACACAGGCTCAGCCATTATTTTCATGTGCTACCTATAACCTTTCACAGTAGAAATATGATCACGGTGCCGGTTCATTAACTCACTGATTGTCCTTCCTTCCTTACCATGGTTATTGCTGATGTTCCGCCGTTCGCTGTAACACATTCGCAAGATTGAGAGTTCAAGGAACACACATATCTGGTAGCACAGTGAATGGGGGAGTGTCTCTTGGCCTCTTTATGCAGATTAAATCAATACCTAACTTCCATGGGGAGAGCAACAAGACAGACATTGACAGGTGGTATCCTGGCTGGGGCTCCCTGTCTTGAAGGAGAAAGGAAAGGGAACAGGTTTCTAAATTGTAAGCTCCTTGAGGGAGGCTACAGGGGTACTGTGTACCATTGATATCTGACCCCAGCTAGTTATTCTTGTAGACACTCAATTATTTACACTGAACAAAAATCAACTTGCTAGAAAATCTACGAGGCCTGACAATTATGTTCACGAACTCATCCTAGAAAACTGCTACATACCTTATTGCTAAAAAGCACTACAGCCATCTTCAAAGCACTCCCCTTGGGAAGCTATGCACCAATGCCAGTGCCTAGTTCACCCTTCAAAGCAGTTTTGGAACTTTTTCTGGAATGGCCATCAGAGCTGTTGTCTTATTACCCTTGATGTCCTGATGTCATTAAAGTATCTTCCTCTCAATATTTCTTTTATTTTCACAAAAAGAAAGAAATCATTGAGGGTCAGATCAGGTATTCCAATATAGTTATTTGTTTACTGGCTAAAAACTCCCTCACAGACAGTGCCGTGTGAGCTAGTTTATTGTCATGATGCAAGAGCCATGAATTGTTGGCAAAAAGTTCAGGTCATCTAACTTTTTTTTTTTTTAAATGACTGAAATTTGGGAGGTTTGCCTATTCAGTTAAGAAATTGAGCTTGGGCCGGCTGAGTGGCGCGATGGTTAAGAACTGGCTTGGGACGCCAGAAGGCCCCGGTTCGGATCCCACATATGAGGGCCATTGACACTGCCCTCCACAGCTGAACAGCAGCTCAACCTGGAGCTGGGCTGCCGTGAGTCGCCAGCGATGGCATAGGCTGCAGCCCCTGTGGCAGTGGCTTGCCATGGGCCACCATTTGTAGCCAGCAGCCAGCGTGAGCGGCCGTCCAGAAGCCAGCGACTGATCTGCCTCGTCCGGGAAGAGCGCAATGATGGTGCCAACTTGGGCCAGCGTCCTCCACAATTAGACTGAAGAACAAAACGACAGCAACTTATCTGTTTCCCCTTCCCCCAATTTCCCAGCACTGTTCCCATCCCCCCACTTCCTCAATAAAAATCTTTAAAAAAATAAAAAGAAATTGAGCTTTTTTTTTTTTTTAAATTAGGGAATTGGGGGAGGGGAACAGCATTGGGGAATCAGGGAAGGGGAACAGACCAGCCGCTGTCCTTTTGTTCTTCAGTCTAGTTGTGGAGGACGTCGCTTCACTGGCCCATGTTGGTATTATCATTGCGCTCTTCTTGAGTGCAACGGTCACTCGCTGGCCATTGGAAAGCTGCTCACGGTGGCTCACGGCAACTCATGCCAGCTGCCAACCACTCATGCTGGCTGCCAGCCACTCAAGGTAGCTCACAGCAGCCCAATGCAGCCCCACTGCAGCCTATGCCGTCACCAGAGACTCACGGCAGTCCCGCTCCAGGTCGAGCTGTTGTTCACCATCTTAGCTGTAGAGGGCTCAACGTCACTGACCCATGTGTGATCCGAACCTGTGGCCCTGCTGCTCAGAGCTCACGATCCCAAGACAACTCTTAACCAATGAGCAACTCGGCCAGCCCAGATCATCTAACTTTTTAACACAGCCTTTTCAGCACTTCCAAATAATGAACTTGGTTAACTGTTTGTCCAGTTGGTACAAATTCATTACGAATAATACTTTTGATATAAAAAACAAAGGTTAGCAACATCATTGCAACAAGTTTGCAAACTTAATAGTCAGATCTTGTGTATCCTAATGTACCTGCCTCTCCTTACATATATAATAAATAATAAAAAATAAAATAAATGTTCATTGTTTTAAAAAGATATCTACTGTACTCCATCAATTCTAATACACATTTTCATATTTAATATCTTAAAAATTAGAGAGCATCTTAAAGTCAATGGAGTTTCATTGTTTAATTGGCTGAGTTGGGTTTTTGGTGTTTTTTGTGTGTGTGGTACATAAAATAAAGGTGTGTTGTACCACCAATGGCATCTTAGATCTTATAAAATACATTATATATCAGATACTAGCAAGATTTCAGCACCACCTAATAAATGAAATCAAAAAGTAGAGAGGTAAGATTTGAAAACTGTATCAATCTTTAAACTGAAGCTTAGTAGATGAGTGGGAAGTTATCATAACTTCTTTGCCAGCCGGCTACAGCCACTATTAATATATATATATTTTTTTCCTTTCCTATTTTCTCCTCCATGTAAAATAGAAAAGGGTGGAAATTAAATTCCTGGCATTTATTGGATCTTTCTGAAATTGTATATCATTGTCTCTAGACTATGAGCTATATGGGCACAGTGTTTTATGCCTATGGTTCTCAAAATTTTGTATATATTGGAATCTCCTCAGGAGCTTCTTAAAAATCCATGACCCTCACCTCCTGCCTGAACATTCTGACTCACAAAGTCTGGGGTAAGGCCCAAAGAGTTGTATTTTTAATCGTATGATGGTTAAGATACACCCCAAAGTTTGAGAATCCCTGATTCATGTGTTTGGAATTGGCCTGTCACTGCAAAGGACTTGAATTTAGAAACTTTGGTCTCAGTAGTACACACAAGACTACACTTGGTAGGAGTGGCTGTGATTTCAGAAGGCAAATATGCTGACAAAGGAAGGATCCCTGACATTGCATTGTTTCCTGTGGGGCTGGGACTCCAAGCTAGAGCTTGTGTTGGTAATGCCCCTGATACCTCTTTCTGTTGGGGATTATTCTAGCTGTGCCCCATAAAATTGGACGCATCATTGATGGGAGTCCTGCCGATCGCTGTGCAAAACTAAAAGTGGGAGATCGGATCTTAGCAGTGAATGGCCAGTCTATCATCAACATGCCCCACGCAGACATCGTGAAGCTCATCAAGGACGCAGGTCTCAGTGTCACCCTTCGCATCATTCCTCAGGAGGGTGAGTGCCTGAGCCAGGTCACAGAGGCCACCTGGCTGCCATCAGCGTGCTGTCAGAATGTCACCAGTTGATAGTTATTTCCACTTCGGCAAACATTCACATTCCATTGCAACTTGTATCCTGTTTTCTCAGTACTAGCTTCATTCAGACATCCAGCTGTGTGACATTGTAGACGAATAGGGTGAATCCCTGGACACTGGGCTATTCAATCATTCCTTGTGGTCCCAAGAGCACTATTTTTATGGTTACATTAAGCCAGAACCCATTTGACATAGATGATAGAGTTACAAGTCTAAAGAAGAGGGGAAAAAAACAACACATATTCATGTTAACTGTTAAGCTCTGGAGGATTCTTCAAAGTCAGATTGATTTTTAAAAGCTTGAGAAAGCTTTGTGATATAAAGAGAGCTCGCTTAGAAAATGTTGCATCTGATAAGAATTTTAAATTCCCAAGTAGCCTTTCGAATTTATCTGTACAAAGACTCCACCCTGAGGCTTGAAGAGCAGTGGGCATCACAAATCACAGCCATGCCATAAGGGGCCACAAAGTTGTAAGTACCGATTCACCATAAATTCACCATTTCTAGACACAGTGGGTTCATTACTCCTTTGTAGCTGCTGACTCTTCATGACATTCAAGAGTTCAGTCCCTGGAGCTCACTCATGAGTGTATTACAATGAATTTCCCACATGGAAAGTGAGGGCCTCACTCACCTTGCCCTCCTCTGTTTTCCTTAGTCTACTGGTTCCATCTTGGGATACTGACAAGGAGGTGCCAAACAGCCACCTGACTTTAAATATAAAATGGTAGTTCTCAACTGAGGATTTTGTCCCCCCAGGGGACTTTTAACAGTGTCTAGAGACAGTTTTAATTGTCATGATTGGAGTGAAAATGCTACTGGCATCTGGTGGGTAGAGTGCAGGGATGCTGTTAAACATCATGCAGTGCACAGGGCAGTCCTCACGGCACATAATTATCTGGCCCCAAATGTCAATAGTGCTGAGGTTGAGAAACCCTGATACAAATGCAGAAGAAATTTGAAATATGAGGCTATGAGAAAAAAAAAAAGGGTTAGAGTGGTTTATAAGGGAATGCTAATAGATCACCTCCCTTTTATCACCCAACTAGCAACAACAGAAAAAAAATGAAAAAGAATACATGACCATGGTTTTTTCACTTGTTATCTGGAAACACCATTATGTGTAAAATATTCAATGGGGATTTACTCTAGCAAGATTGCTCGCTAAAAACCTGACTTGCTTCTCCATTTTCCCAGTCGGACATATGTCTGCCTTGCTCTTATTCTAACATAAAGAAATAATTTCAGTTGAAAATTTGATGCTATTAAAATAAATTCCAAGAAGCAGTTTTAACAAACAACAACTTAATTCACCTTCCTCTGTCTAGTGTTGTTTTTTCTGGAGAACCGTGGAATACAGAGGGTTATTAAGCAATAAGACTAACAAGAAACTAGAAAGAAGATTGTAGAAAGTACTTATTTTTATTGTGGTTAGTTCCTTATCCAAACTTTGGAATCCTGGTAAGACTTCTCCTTACATCAAAAAGTGGTGGGTAAATGTTTTCTTTCAGTGAGCAATGCTGGGAAATAGGCTATGTTTCAGAGCTTACTCCTTTGAATTATTTTTTTCATAGTTTTAACAGGTTTGGGTGGTTTGGTTTTTATTTGTTTTTTTGGTTGTTGTTGGTAATCTTTTCTTCTGACAAAATGACAAGAGACTCTGTTCATATCCTTGTTCAGCAGCACTTACAACTAAAGAAAGAATACTAATTCTGGGAGTGGTATTGAAACTTGATTAAGTGTAAGCTGCTGCCTCACAGTCTAACAGAAGCGAAACTAACCAAAGCCTTGAGTCATCTGAGGAGACCGAGGGACCACCTCTGGCCACCTCTTGCCCTTTACCAGTGTCATACTGACTGCATTTGCCCGTTGCAGAGCTCAGCAGCCCAGCCTCGGCGCCCAGCTCCGAGAAGCAGAGCCCCATGGCCCAGCCCAGCCCAGCCACCCCCAACAGCCCTGTCGCCCAGCCAGCCCCTCCTCAGCCACTTCAGCTGCAAGGACATGAAAACAGGTAAAGTGTCCTTTGGCTTTTCTGATTCTAAGAGGTGAGGGAGGCAGAGAGAGGAAGACTTTGGGACAGGCAGGAGAGAGATCTTCATGATGTAGAAATGGCCGTATGCACACACCTTTGTGCAATTTTGAGATTGTGTGTATGTTATAAATGTGATTTTCGTAGCAAATACAGATGTCTGTCCTTCACAAGAGGAGAACTTTTGCTGAAGAAATGATGAGCAACTGACGAATAGGAATTAACTAGCTGAAGAACAAATCAAAGAGAGTCAGCAGAGTGAAGAATATATACCAAGGCCTTTTGGCAGGAGGGAGCGAACAAGCACGCAGGAGAAACATAAGGCCCCTGTGTGTGTGTTTGGGAGGGGGGGACGTTTGAGATGAAGCCAGTGAGGGTATAGGGGTTCGCCCTATAGGGTCTTGGAGGCATGTTAAAAATTTTGATCATAAGTGTAGTGAGAAGTCATTGGAGGGTTTTAAGCAGAGGACTGACATCACTGGCTCTGCTTTTCAAGATCCCTCAGTGGGCCCCACAGAGAACAGACTCCAGGCTGGTCAGAGTGAATGCAAGTTAAGCAGTCAGAGATGGCTCCCAGTGTCCATTGAGTAACCAAGGTGGTGACTCAGAGAATGATAACAGTGTGGAGAAGGCGAAATGTTGAAGGGTTTGTGAGTATTAATAAACGTTAGCACTTTTATCGCATTTTACCTTAGAGCCTCCTACCATGATCTAATTAGGTTCTTCCATTTCTCAGCATGAATGAATATGAATAAGGTACTTGGAACTTCCAGGAAAAAAAGGATGCCATATAAAAACTGAATTATCTTCTTATTGTGACTCGTGTGTAACAAGGAACCTGGGTTAGGCTGAGCCATTAAGGAAAGAGATGAAGACATGTTTCCATGTCGTCTTCCCTTCGAAGGAGGAAATAGAACAGTCCACGGGAACATCTCTGAGCACGAAACCCTCACTGGTCTTTTCCATGATCCTAATGCTTTCTGAACACCTGCTTCCCGTCTTCTACTTCCCGTGTTGGTGGAGGTGAAGAGAGACCCAGTTTTTGAGTCCCAGAACTCTCTAGGTTCATCACTCACACTGTTGCAAAGCAAATATTTTCCCTATGCCACAGGTGTGATAAAATCCTGTTCTATTCTGATTTCCCTCATTTGCTTTCATAGAAAAGTAAACGTCTGTTGTCCTCAGCTGTTTATGGTTTTAATACATTCCACAGAAGTAAGAACACTAAGCCCCATAAGGCAACGATACAGAGGTAAGAATTTGACAATCCAGAGGAGTAATCCTGGGTGCCTCCGTAATAAGCCCCAGATGTGTTTGCTTTCACCATATGCTGTTTCTCCAGATCGCACTGGCTTTCCCCAGGATTCGTTTTAGACTTGAGAGGAAGGATTTGAGAGCTCCAGCAGCCCCTGAGCCAGCTTCAGACTTTTCTTCTTGGCTCTGCCACTGTCAGTTAACCTCCCAGCCACAATTCCATTTTCACCTTTCCAGGGTCAGACTGCCCTGGAAATGGGCTTCTGCTCCCAGCCTTGGGGTAGGTAAGTCATCCCAGGTGTGTTATAGCTCAGTGGGGAGAATAACAGCTGGGCGAGGCCACTGTCCTGCCCCACCTGCTACTGGCTCACCCCCCAGCACTTGGCCCTTATCACAGTGGTTTGGGGCGTATTTTTGCCTGACTAAAGAAGAAAATATTTCCTAACTCTGGGATTAACAGATTGACCTGATCCAAATTTTTATAAATCAACAAATTTGCCCCGAGCACTTAGCTATTTTTGCTTTAATAATATTAAAAGCCTGGGAAGTGCCCACTCCAATTCTAGGGCTCTATCCTGCCACTCAGGTTTCCTGGCTTAACTCTGATGGTGAGTGGGTGCTCATTTGCCTGTGAATGAAGAAATTCAATAATCTTGCAGATACCAGAACCATTTTCCTTGCTGTGTTTAAAGATGATCAGGGTATCAGAGGGGAAAATCTGCCTTTTTCCAGGCTCGAGATGTCTCCAAAACAGCAAGCGTACAGTATGAATTTTCTATTAGTTCATTTGTACAAAAAGTGCCCACCTACATATCACATTGAGCCAGTTCCCACATTAAAGTGGGATCAAATAAAATGACAAATCTGCTTGCAAATTTTTATTTTATGAGTTAGAGTGAGTGAATATTTTGTCCTCTTATTTACTTTTGGATTAGATCCCACCTGACACCCCTCACACCCTCTAACCATTTCTCTTTCCCTTCACATCCTTTTTGTTTGTGCTCAGGAAACACAAAAATAATTTTCATATGAACATAACCAAAACACTATTCAAGGAGAAGCATTTGTTGAAAACAACAAACGATCCATTACGAAATATATTCCAAAACTAAGCATAAATAGCAGAGTTCACCTTCCCCAGCAAGGGCAATTGATGTTTGACAGCATTTTAAATAGCAAGGTCAGTGGAAGAGCATTGGAAATTGACTTCTTTCACAGACTTTGAACCTTAGATGCTTAAAGCTGGAAGAAATTATTGAAAGGCCCACGTAAGGTGATATCCCACTGTAAGATCCCCCACTACATGAGCAGTGTTTCTTGGTTCTGGAACTCTTTCATACCATAAAATTCTGCTAGAGTTTACCACTAGCAAGCTGGTTTTATCATCTCTAGTCTCTTTAATAATGGAATTAATAGCTACGAAGAGTTATACTGATGACCTTCTTTCATAAATAAAGGAACCTTAAAGAGGCTATTTTTTTTAATAATCCTCAATTTTTCTTAAAGTGTTTTACAAATTCAAAGCAATATAACTTTTGCCCTAGTCAATGTATCATTCACTTAAGTTATCAAAACTCATAAAAAGTTAAGTGTAATATTTTCCTTAAAGAATTCTTCGATGTGCAGTTTAACATAAAGTCCTGACACATGGCATTGGTGTAGAAGGAAGTTTGAGTGTGGGAATGCAGGCTTGGGTGACAAATGTTGTAAGTTTTAACTGTTTTTATTTCTAAGTATTTGTGTAATCTGTGGGGATGCTCTTACATTTCACCCTCTTTGCTATACCTTGTGACACAGCTGGTTGGAAGTGGAGCCCATAATGGATATTTCATACCAATGCCACACAGATAATGAAAATAAAGTGACTGTGCTAGAACTCAAAACAATGTGACATCTAAACCACCAAGCAAATTATTTCTAGACAGGAACTGACACACACCAATGAATGTCACCCAGTTCTTTTCTTTTTCTGTAATTCATGCATTTGCATAGATCAGCATCTTATTCAAAGCATTTTTTAAATAATTCTGTTCTCAGCATAGACACTCTCAATGTGTGAGTGGACAACTTGCTGAGGTACAAAGCAAAGCTTAAATATTGCAACTCACAAAAGGAATGTGTCACTTTCTGCAGGTTAAGTAACAAATGGGACCCACTCAAAGTGTTGATTAAAATAACTACATTACTAACCGCCTTCCAAAAATCCTAAATAAATACATCTATTGCCATATACTTTCAGTATGTCCTCTCAAATATTAGACTACACTAATGGCAATTGTTAGTGATATTAAATGTATTTAATATAATACAAAATTATATTTTATAAATACAAAATATATTAAATGATATAAAATATTTAATATAATCAGCATCAGCGAGACCATAAGCCAGTAAAAAAAAAAAAAACTCACCTTGTCTGAAAAGTGAAAACTTGACTGATTTTGAACGTGTTTTCCTGACACAGTTGAGTTTTGCCTTGGTGCTAAATATTTTCTCAATTCCTCAAATCCTCCATATTCATTTTAGATAAAATTGTTTTTTCAACCTACCTTTGTCCCTGTGTAGCTCATTATAGACTGATGCTGTGGTCAGAGGCAATGAAGTACAGAATTAAGTGGCCTCTATACTATGGAGATAATTTTTCAATTTACCTTTTTAATGACCCCATAGTGGTAAGAATAAGCTATTTTAGTCCCCTTTTGAAACTGGGAATCCCCTCAGTTTAGAACAGTTTGGATTCACAAAATAGCACTACACAACTAGTTCTGGTCTCTGTATTTATTTTATTAGTAACTAATATCTAGAAACAAGAAAGAGATAAATGTTGAGCATAAACATTTTTGCCTTTCTTTCCATCTTATGATTGTGACTATATCTGATAGTTATCTAAAAGCTATAGTCTAGTATTCAAACTCTATGTAATATGTTTCTATTCTTAGCAATAACTCAGTGACTTTCTACTTGATTTGTAGTTGGTGGTTATACCTTACTGTTGCTCCTTGCTATCACTCCTCTGTAAGATATTCAAAAAGACCAAACCCAGCAGGTTAAAATAGCCTTTAATTATGTATTTGCAGAGTATTTAGAGATTATGTCAATCATGTTTTCAGGAAGTAATGAGTGGTCTGCCAAGGGGTGTGTGTGTGAAAGAGAGAGAGACACAAAGAGAGTTGGTTTACTGGTGTTAAGACGGACTGATATTTTGGGATGTATAGTTAAGTGTTTAACCCCCTGGATTTGCTACAGTTGTACAGTTTTTAAATAGCCAAAGTTAAAAAAGGATACCCATGAATCCTTTCCCCAAAGTTCTGGTTGAACCATCATTTTCACCTTCACATCTTAAGGAGCCAAGTGAAAAGTACACAATATGGAATTTGTCAAAGATTGAAAAGTAACACTTATCATTTATTTAATCTTTTCATGATCCTGAACATGCAAAAGGACCACCAGGAGGAGTGGCCCACACGTGCCCTGAGGTCATTCGATCATTCTGGTCTCCTTAGAATCAGAGGAGATACCAAAGTAAATCCCACTTCCATTCATTTAGTTACAGGTCAGAAGTAAAAGCAAGACAAGATGTGAAACCAGACATCCGACAGCCTCCGTTTACAGACTACAGGCAACCCCCACTGGACTACAGGCAGCCCCCAGGAGGCGACTACCAGCAACCCCCGCCCTTGGACTACAGGCAACCTCCCCTGCTGGACTACAGGCAGCACTCCCCCGACACCAGGCAGTACCCGCTCTCAGACTACAGGCAGCCCCAGGTACCTTGATCCCTGAGATCATTGCGGGCCCGGGACCAAGACTTCCTGAAGTGCCAAGAATGAAATAGAGTGGGAGTCTAAGGAAAAAACACCCTTCTGAGATAGACAACCCAAGTTCTATTCTTAGTTCTGATATCCTCTGGGTAACATACACATCCTCAAAATGCTCTGAATAAATAAACCTATTTCAGAATAAAGCAGGACTATCAATCAATCAGTAAGTGGGTGAGTGATAATGGGATGAACTAGTCTCCACTAATGTCAGCTAGCTGACTCCCAGTACATTACCTTGCCGAAGTTGGAAAATGCTCTTACCTGGGACCTCAGAGGTGCTGCTAATGCAGAAAATGTTACAAATGCCAACATGGAGGTTTTCTATGTTAGATCCATAATTATTTGCATGGTCCCTGCCTCCCATTTGGTGGTAAAGGGCAAGGCCAGGCCTGGCTTCATCACCCAGTCTGTAATCCCTGTAACAAGCCCTGAGTCCCTCTCTACACAACAGCGGTTCTTATAATTGTATTTCCATGTTAGATGCATGACTTCCATGGTGACTTCCACAAGTCCCCTGAGCTACGGTTTCCTAAAGGGAGGGTCTTCCTTACAGGCTATGGTGAGGATTCAACATTTATGAAAAGCACCTAGACCACAGCCTGGTATCTAGTAAATATTCAATACCTGACAACTACATACCAAGATACAAATTAAATACAATTCCAACTCTTATCAGGTTATATTGTGTTTTATTTTGGATTAAAGATCATCTTTATCCCCTCAAAATTTTAAGAACATTAAAGGTCAGGAAATCTTGGACATATTGCTTTTTATGTAAAAGAGAAATTTATTTCCTACATTCCAGCTTGATATTCAGTCGTCTGTGCAGCAGAGAGTTGTAGTAAGACCCCATTAAATTTCATTTTTCTAATCGACAAACCTCTAATTTACACACACATAGGTTGGATACATTTATATATGGTGCTCAATAATAGTGAGTGAGAAAACTCAAAGGAGAGAGCGTATTACTCAGGCCTGTATGCTAGAATTACATGTTTGCCATATCAACTGATGAACCCCAAAGTAAACAAGCTACACAGTTCTTCCAATGACCCAGTAGACCATGTTCTGATCTGCTCCAGCCTTTGGAGCTTCGTCTTGCATTTTGCTGAACTGTGAAGTCAGGTTACTTCTCACGAAACCATGTCATTTGGAAAACGTTTCATGAGAAAGGAGAACAAAGGGACTGACCACAGAAGCTTCTTTGATATTAAACAATTGTTTATTCCATTTTCCCCCCAACCCCTAAGGATTTTGATTATTTCACTGTGGACATGGAGAAAGGAGCCAAAGGATTTGGATTCAGCATCCGTGGAGGAAGGGAATACAAAATGGATTTGTATGTGTTGAGATTGGCAGAAGATGGGCCGGCAATAAGGAACGGAAGGATGAGGGTAAGAATAGTCCTTTTTACAGAACTGCTTAATTCTGAAAGAAACCCATCGTGGTATTAGAAGAGTGCTGAAGCATCTGTTAAGCCAAAGATAATGTAGGTTTTGCCTTCTTTCTATTTCATAACCCAATTTTCTCAAGGTGTGGCCAAACGTTTAAGAATTTTCTTCCTTACAGCCTTCTAACGGACAAATCTCAAATAGTGTTTTACACATATAGTTTCCCTAAAGAGCAAACTAAAGAAAATGCACAAAGTATTCTAAGAAATACCTTGAAATGGAAACATGGCTCTATGGTTTGATGGTTTGATGGTTTGATCTCCTATGGTTTGGTGATTCGGTTTTCATTTGAGATTGAATCTTTTGAAATTTATATTTAGCTTTATGCTTTTTTCCCCATGTTTATTAATCAAATGTTTCTGTGTTTCTTTGGAAATGTTTCTCTTGTGTTGACTGGTCTTTTGGCTTTGATATTGGGCAGACAGAAGCAGTAGGAGAAAGGAGGACTAGCTTCTTAGATATATGTCCTTAAAAATGATAGCCGTGAGAATCAGAGTTGAGAATGGATTTATAAATATAATAGTTACTTTGAGGCATCTGATGAATGGGTTACTGGTTGTCATCTAAAGGAACAAAACAAGATGATAACAATATAGAACATTATTCTATATTCTTTCTCTCTCTCTCTCTCTCTCTCTCTCTCTCTCTCTCTCTCTCTGTAAAATGGTGTTAGTAAGCACATAATAAAGGCTGGTTATTATTTTAAATAACATCTAGAATTCATTTTTGCCCTCCCTCCTTGCTCTTTTAGTTAATACAGAAAGCTGTGGTTCTTGGCTTCTAGAATCTCAGCTTCTTGTGCTGAGCCTCACCAACCAATTGCTCCCAGACAATTGAATGAATCTTATCTCCACCACCAAGTCTGCCATTTCTGTGATTCTCATTCCCACAGTGCAAAAGTAGAAAGTATGTAAATTGTGTCTATTTTTCTCTTTCCCATCACAATGCTTTGACAGCTGGAAAGTATTCAAGTTGGAATTTGAACTCAGACTAGGCTAACTCGAGAGACTGGCAGCCCCCACCCTGATCCAACACCAGTGTCTTCTTACCCATCTAAAGGTGGTTTTAGGATAGGCCTCCACATGATTTCTAGGCTCCCAGCTTCCTTGTAAACAGAAGGCTCTTTCTTAACATGCTGCAAAGCCAGTCGCAAGTGATCATATAAAACAAAATTAACCTTTGCAGTGCAGGTGAAAGCAACACAGCAGGAAGGCCATGAGTGAACCAGCCAGAGCCTGTGACAGAGGATGCCCCACCCCCACCCCAGTGGACTTCAGAAATGGCCTGTGTGGATTCCAAACTGTGGCCACATTTTTAAACAAGTGGTCTCAATGTCTGGCTGCTCACTATATATAATAATCCCAAGGCATAGAAGCCTAAATATGGAAGTACTCTATGTAAAAAATACTCTTTCTTGTAGAATTTAAGCCAAAGCAGTTGTTCTCATTGTGGTCCCCGGCATCAGCATCACCTGGAAATGTATTAAAAATGCAAATTCTCAAGCCCCACCATAGACATACTGAATCATCGACTCTAGGAGTGGGGCACTCAGGCTGTTTGTGGGATTCGCCTCCCAGTGATACAAGCTAAAGTCTGAGAACCGCTGAGCTACAGGCAAGCTGTCATCACACAGGTATGACACGGGTAGGATGTGTTGGCTCCGGCTTTGGTAATCCCCGCTAGATCTTGTCTAAGGAGATTTCTACCCTGTTTTACCTAAGGTCCTTAAATCTGTAGAAAAACAGATTTAGAATTTGTAAGCTGGTGCTCAATTTTATGAACAATGCTTTTTCTTCTGGCAGATGATAAAAATGAGCCCTCTGCCTGGGTTTCAGAAAATGGTATTTTCACTTCTTGTCAAAGATTATAAAAATAAGCACTATTTCATCATTTTTCATGTCATTTTATAGAGCAACCTATTACTTCTGTGTACAACCTCTCTAAAAGGAATTATTATGCCCAGTTTTAGATAGTATGGGTTAGTTTATTGTGTAAGTGTGTGTGTGTGTATATATATATATATATATATATATATATATATATATATATATAATTTCTAGCATTTAATTATCAAAGAAAAAGAGCCATTTGGGAGTTGCAGAAATTCCATGGATCAGCTTTTACTGGTTGATTTTTTTTTTTATCTCCAATCTTTAAAATAAGGTTGGAACTTAGCAGAGGTGGAAGGAAGACTTTTTCCCGCTTTTTATGGATTATATTTGATATTCAAATGTTTGGGGGTTTTCTCACTCATGGATTCTTATGGCACCAATGGAGAATTTGTCTGGGAGTACAATCTCCAAAGGGGCTACTTCGTGTGTAAGTTCAAAGGTGCTCACACTATCTACTGTCAGAATTGCATAATGTTTTGTGTAAAGATCAATAATTGTTTTTGATAGTAACACATGATTTATTCAGATCTTGTTTCCATGTTTATTATCAAATTTAATCATTTAAAGCTAATCTTTTCTGCCTTCATTAGTACTTAATAATTGGCAATAACTTTTAATTCACAAATATGTTTAAATTACCTCAGCAAGGGCCAGGATCAGTCAATATTGGCATGACTCGATAGTTTGATTATTTTAAACTAATACATAAACATATAGGTTACTGATTTGGAAATTTCACAAAAAAGTTCATTAGGGACCCATTTTTCATCTTACATTTTTCATCCTACCTGATACCATTGGTGCCCAGATAAATATAGATTAAATATCTGTGCAGATGATGAGGCAGCTCCATGGGGATTATGACTTCGTTGGTAAAGTTCCAAGACTCCTTAGAAAAGTGGGTGGACTAGACATTCACAGCGTATCATTCAAAATAAGCTCAAGAAGCAGAGAAGCTAGCACCAGGTTCTTACCAGCCTTTAAAACACTCAGGCACATTTGTCCTTGTCAACGAGATTTCTTCACCTTCAATCTTAAAGCTTTATTTCCTCTATTACCCAACTAAACATACACACAGTTTGGAAAATACTGTGTATTTCTTTCCCTCTTTCGTGATCAGAAACAGAAGGAAAAAGCCAGGTAATATCCTGGTAATAGCAGGATCTCTTAGATTAAACCCAGTACAGTAAAATTGCTCATATCAGAATTACTACACAAGAACTGAATGATTCTGAAAAATCATTTCATGTAACAATTAATAAATCATTAAGCCCTTAGTTTAAGAATGTAAATACTACTACTTTTGAAAACTTAGTTAATGCAATGCACCGGATGTTACTCTCTGAACCGGAGACTTTTCCTGGATCGCTAGCGTTTGTCTTGGTTGTAGGACAGTGGTGGTGTATGCCTGTTTAGTAGTATAAGACTTTGCTAAGAATACAGAGAAAGCCAGGAAGGGGGGGGGGAGTTCAGAGGAGGTGACTAGCATGATGTAAGAACATCCTCCTCACACTGAGGAGTCTAAGAAACAGTGGCACAGATATGTATTTTTCAAGCATGTTCTTGGACATCCAAGTGATATCCCAGACATTCAAGAGCAATGCCAGTGGTCTGCCCACCACAGGGGTTCTTCCATGGACCTAGTGAGACACAAGTAGATTTATGCCGCGAGTGAGTTCCAGATAGAGTGACTGCATTCCAGTCTTTCTGCGCCTGCAGCAGTGAGAATTCTTTTAGCAGAGATCTTTGGCAAATTAGACTGTTTGACATTCAAGTTGATTAATAAGTACTCCCACAGTATATAGATGGTTTTTTCCTCCTCGGAAAACATTGTATGTTGTTAACATTTTATCAAATGAATACTTTCTTTCCACTTAATGAAACAAGAGTCAGATCAGGCAAGCATCCTAATAAGATACAATGGGTTCCCTCAAAATATGAGAATACACCGACAGCAAACCAGGATCAGAAAGTAGTAGAGAAAATTTTCAAGCCAAAGTCTAGACACAAGAGAGAAGATAAGAAACTTTTTTAGATCAATTAAATGTTTATTTAGAAGAGAGTTTCTAGGACCCCCTGTATCAGAAACACTTAAGAGTAACGAAATCAATGAATTTAAAGCTTTACTAAAAATATGACTATTTTGAGCCTTTCTAAACTCTCAGCCTCCAAAACAAGCAAACATGGTGCATTTGCTTTATTAAATTTTGTTGAACTCGAATACACTTTGTTGAACCTCAGTTCCTATAAAACAAACAAAAAAAATGATATCTACCTTGTAGAGTTGTTGGGAGGGTTTGAGAAATATATCAGGAGGTAGAATTGATTTTTCCGAGACAAAAGAGTTTGGTATTAGTTTATGGGAAAAGAGAGGATTTAAATGTTAAGATATATCATGAAATAGAATTTGAATAGAATAGTACAGTGAAAATAAACACCAAGAAAAACCATGTGTATTATTATTACATGAAATATTCACTTTATCAAAAAAAGTAGAAAATATAATAGCAAGTTTTTACTTTAATTATTAGATAGTTATTCAACATCAATTAATACTGATGTATTAAAAGTTGAACAAACTATCTGTAAGTGCAGAAAATAAGAGAAATGGGAAATAAAAATGTAATCACCATGTCTGATTGCTTTTCTTCAGTCATTCAAGGAGGATAATATAAGAAAAACACAATTGATATTCAAAGTTTAAAGAAAAGTATGAGAAGTTATTAGAAAATACAAAATACTTGTTTAAAAAAAAGACTAGGGCCGGCTGAGTGGCGCATTGGTTAAGAGCTGGCTTGGGATGCTAGAGGTCCCCGGTTCAGATCCCATGTATGAGGGCCAGTGACACTGCCCTCTACAGCTAAGATGCTGAACAACAGCTCAACCTGGAGCTGGGTTGCCATGAGTCACAGGCAATGGCGTAGGCTGCAGCCCCTGCTGCAGTGGGTTGCCATGGGCTACTGTGTGTAGCCAGCAGCCAGCAGGAGTGGCCAGCAGCCGCAGTGAGCAGCCATCCAGAAACCGGCGACTGATCTGCCTCGGCCGGGAAGA